AATACATTGCCTTTCGATTGCATAAAAATCTGTCGATGTTAGAAGTGCAACGCACTAAACAAATCGATTGTAATGATGCAGAATACAATTGCAACAAACAGTATATAAGAAACCTACGTCACGGCTGAATGCATAAATCAGTGAGAAACGGTTACCCATCTACTATTCGACTGATCATCCAATTACCTTTCTTCTATGCTGCTGTATTGATGAGTTGCAATAAATGCTACACAATTATGATAATGAAAGTGCAAAACATAATTATCATTGATCGTTACTTAATGAAACACAAATAGTATCTTTATTATTGATCGAATAATCATGCAAATAGTCATGAAAATTGCTTGCATATTTCTACGCAGCTGTACAGGTGAATTGAAATAAATACTACGCATTTATGATAATCAAAGTGCAAATTATAATTATCATTGATCGTTACTTAATGAAACAAAAATAATGCCTTTGTTATCAATCGGACAATCTTCCAATGACTAGTGCCTGTTTATACACCTGTACAGGTGAGTTGCAAAATACGTTAGGCAATTATGAAAACGAAAGTGCAAAATCTAATTGTCGTTGGCCGCCACCTAGCTAAAGAAAAAAGATGCTATAAAAAACTGATAAAAATGAAAATAGGGCATTTCAATAGACTCATAACAAATAATACGAATTCATTGATAATTTTTTAATTTATTTCGAAAACCTTGTCAATATTTCCGACTGATCTTCAATCCATTATCAACACAGATTATAAATCAAGGATACAAAAAAATTTTTATTATATGTACAACTATTTTCTTTTCTTTAACATGACAATGCGACGGGGACAAACGTTTGCTTGTACATTGCAATGCAAAAGGAAAGAAGAACGAAAAGAAAAGAAAATAATACTTGTACATATAATAAAAAAAAATTTTATATCCTTTACTTGTAATTTCTGGTAATAAACCATTTCTTGAAGGAGTAATATTGAATTTTGAACAAAATGAAGAACTGCCGTAAAAATAATCTTATTGTTTTAATTGAAACGTTCCAAGTAACAAAAAGCAAAAAAATTGCGAGCTTATGACTTTATACTTAGGTCATAAGCTCGCAATTTTTTTTGCTTTTTGTTACTTGTAAAGTTTCAATTAAAACAATAAAATTATTTTTACAGCAGTTCTTTACGTCATTTTTTCAACATTAAATGTTACTGTTTCAAGAAGTGATTTATTATCATCGACCCGCATGAAGTATGGTGTGCTAACTTTTCAATGATTCAACAATATGAAAAATTAATGAAGAAACTTCAAAAAAACATGTGCTATTTAGAATTTCTTCGATGTTGTTGAATCCATAATCTTATTCCGGAATTCGTACGATTTAAAGTGCCAAAACTAATTAATAAAACGAAACAATATATAATTAATCTTCAATGACATTATTTAGAGCAAGAATCTAAAGAATATCACAAACAATGTCGTAGACTAGAAAAAGAAATTGAACCTATATTCAAAAATCTCGAAACAAAGTTAAATATAAATGATTATTTAAAAATTCAGAAGTTTATGTATGATGTTGCAAAAACAGAACATTAGCGCATTGTCACTATTCATAACTGAAAATTATAAAAATTAAATAACGGACCAATAGGTCAACAATATGTGACAAAATGTTCATAAAACTTATTCATAATCATTCACCACATCAGCTAACTCCGGTACAAGGTCGATTATTAGCATACCGATAGCCATTTTGCATTGAACAACAAATATCAAATACTATTAATGTTAAAATAGACATTGAATTAAATTCATTACAATTAGAAGAATTATGCCGTAAATTTGTCTTTAAAATTATATGTCAAAACATAAATAATGCAATAGAAAAAATGTTTCTATGGTTAAAACACAAATCAATCCGGAACTTAAGTGAAGATGAATGGAAAGCATTAAAAGAATTAAAATTAAACAATAAAATAGTCATATGCACAGCAGATAAAGGAAATGTCATCGTAATTCTTAATAAATCTGGTTAATATATATCAAAAATGAAAATAATATTAAACAATCGACAAACATTCCACACCATCAAATGTTCCAGCTTTATACGGTTAACCCAAAATAAATAAATCTGGTTTACCAATGAGACCTATTATTTCTTCAATTAATACATATAATTATTCTCTCTCAAAATATTTAGCAAATAAAATGTCATAATGCAAACAGCCAACATCATCATATGTTAAACATTTATTTGATTTTGTTAAAATGGTTTTAAAAATAAAACCAAGTAATGAATTTAAAATGTATACTTTTGACGTTGAAAATCTTTACACCTATGTTCCTGTTAACGAAACAACTGAGATGGTATTAGATCTTATTTACAAACCAACGAAAATTACAGATATTCCGTTTGACCGAACAACAACTAAAAAGCTACTTCTAATTGCAGTAACTTCTGTTCCATTCATATTCCTAAATGAAAATTACTCACAAGATGATAGTCTAGTCATGCATTCATCATCAGCACCAATTCTTGATGATGTTTTTATGATAAAAATGGAAACAAGATTAAATAGATTATCAAAAAATAAACCAATCGTATGGTTACCTTATGTCGACGATATATTCTGTATATTTACTATCGAATTAATAAAAATTATTCAATTTCAGGGTAGAATTAGTAAATGGTATTCAAATTTAACATTCATGTTAGAAACTGAATCAAAACAACAGCTGTCACTCTTATATGTACTTATTATTAGAATACTAGACAAATTTGAAACCGCAATTTATCATAAATCGACAAAGACCGATTTATATGTCACACAACAGCAATCAACCAAGAAGATATAAATTACGATTAATTAAAACATTACTTACCAGAATTGAAAAGATATGCTCAACTGATGCATACAAAAACGAAAAACTTACAAGAACAGAAGTGTACTATCAAAAAATGGTTACCCCAAACACACTATCAAAAACATATCAACTAGTCGAAAAAAATCGACTAAAAACCTAATTTGCAAAAGTGACATCATTAGATAGAACGCAAAAAACTGAGTGTTACCCTAAAATATGAGCGCGGAATATAGTGTAGTCCCAAGCAAAAATTTTTAAAAATATTATTCTCTGTGAGAACAATTTTTTGTTGTCGTTCTCTCTATTTTTTTTTCGTTCTCTCAGCCGTCGTATATATGTTTATGTATGAGACAGAACGAAAAGAAAAATTGTTCACAAAGATGAATCTAGCAAAAGACAAAAATTTATAATATTCTTAATAACGATAAATCAAATAAATTCGTTCAAAGTAAAATAAATAAATAATAATAAAAAATGTTTTGATTGAGCATATATCATTTTTGAAGTCCAGCAGTTTAGTCCATAGTGATATATGCTTGTCTCTCTCAATTATCTTCAACTTTTTTTTAAAGTTTAAGTTTATTCAGTGTTTTTTATTAGTTGAAAAGGAAACAGTTTGATAGTATTCCATGGAATTATGTAGAAGCGATTCATCATTTTGTATGAAATCAAATGGCTCACAAATTTCCATTTTCATCTAATTTGATAAAAAAAAGTAAAATTAAATTATTAAAAATAATGATTTGACTGAACAATATATAAAGTTTTGTTGAAATACATTTTAGATTCTCAGTAAACCTTTTTAAGAATTACTTTTACAAAAGAGATAACGAAGGTCTTTGAATCTTTCCAAACATCATTTTTTTTTCTTTATAATGTTCCCTCGTCTTCATCATACAGCTTCACAAACATGTGTACAGAAAAGGTTCGTTCAAGTACTATGCATATAATGACAGAAAAAATCAAATCTTCTGATCATGATGCTGATAATGGTATTGTGATTGTGATTTGAAAAATAAAAATGATAATGTAAATACTATTGAAAATTTTGTGGACAAGTTTAAGAGACATTGAGATAAATTTAATTAAATTATTATGACACGTGAAATAGCTATGTCCAGTTGTATACCTCATATCGAGTTATAGATAACTTGTCAAGGAAGGAAAATGTATAGCGGCAAAAAATCGTAACGTGTCACCTCTGGCACCGGAAATTCGAAATCATTAATCTGAGAATTTGTTGTTTGTAGGTTGTAGGGCATAGTCGAAAATATATGAAAACATATCTTGTTCGGTCATAGACGTTTTAAATCGCGTTTAGCTTTTCCTCGCAAAGATGTCACCACTCTATGATAGAAATTAGTCAGTTTGATTCATTTAACTAATTAAACTTTTTATCGGAGCTTCTCGATATATACACGATTGATAATTACGTATTAATTGTACGTTAGTAAAGGCATCTACTAGCAAAAGAATTGATTTTCTATTCTTTGTATTTTTGTACAGAGAGTGTGCGAGAAAAGGCAATATTTATACCATCATCGCGTAACAAAAAATCACTATTGTTTTTTTTTTCTACTGTCGATACAAAACAATCTGGCCTAAAAAGACACGTGTAAAGCTAACTTTTCATGAGCTATCTAGTGCACGTATTTTCAGGGAAAAAATTTCCTTTTTAAATTTTTTTTCCGTAACGCGATGACGATTTTTCGCAATTTGTTATAAGAAAGGCTTATGAACAAAAACTTATAAGTATTCATGAATTACTCAAATATAACTATTAAATATGTGTAATGGTTGCTTATATTAATACTTGTAAAAATGATTTTCATTGGAGAATATTCTGATTGGTTCTAATTAGTAAGGTCGTTATAATTAAAATAGATTTACCAATAAAATCTATCAATCTCTCATAAGTACAGCTGTTGTTGAAATCTATTGACAGTTTCAATTTCTTGTTTTGTAAAACGAAGATCTCGACAGAATTTTGTTTAAGAAACTGTTTTTTACATATAAATCAATTAAATACAATTTATAGTACTCAAGTACTCATTGTTAAAAATGGCAAAATCCAATGCCGCAAGGCAAAAAATATACCGTGCCAATTTAACAAAAGACAAATTGAAATTTGAACATATGAAGCAAAAGTCTCGAATGCGAGATAATGCAAGACGCAAAAGCCTGACAGGTGATGCATTAAATCAATTACGCATGCGACAAAAATTTGCATCAAAGAAATATCGTGATGGATTAAAATTAAAGCGATTAAATGATAATCGATCATCAACTTACAAAAATCGTCAATCATTCGGTAAAGCCATTAAGCGTGTTCAGAAATCATTACCAAAAGAACCAAATAAACGTATTAGTGTAGTTCGTCATATAGCACAAACACTTGATATTATTCCAAAAACAACTGATCTTCACGAACGTGAACAACGACAGTTACCGAGGGTGTGGGTGTGGGTGTGGGGGTGGGTGTCGGTGTCGGTGTCGGTGTGGGTGTAGGTGTGAGTGTGGGTGTGGGGTGGGATGGGTGTGGGTGTGGGTGTGGGTGTTGATCTCTCCACTCTCTACACCTACACCCACACCGACACCGACACCCACACCCACACCCACACCCACACCCACACCCACACCCACACCCACACCCACACCCACACCCACACTCACACCCACACCCACACCCACACCCACACCCACACCCACACCCACATCCACACCCACCCACACCCACACCCACATCCCGAACTCTTGAGGAATCCTTGAACTCAACCGTGAATAAAAATAAATAGCAAATTAACACTGATAATCTAACAAAACTAATATATGAAAGAACAAGTTTCTGCAATTCAATCAAAAAAACAAATTGACAGGGCGCGAGGAATTCAAGTAGCTCACACCACCCAAGGAACGCAAAAGATTTCAAGGGAGCCAAGGATTCCAAGAAATGCAAGGAAGTCAAGGATCCAAAGGAAGTAATGGATTCCAAGGATCTCAAGGATTCCAAGAAATTCAAGGAAGTCAAGAATCCAAAGGAAGTAACGGATTCCAAGGATCCCAAGGAAGCCAGGGATCCTCAGGAAGTCAAGGATCTCAAGACAGCTAAGAATCCCAAGGAATCCAAAGAATTCAGGGATTCCAGGGAATTCAAGGATCCTAAGAAACTCAAGGATCTCAAGGAATTCAAGGATACCAAGGGATTCAAGGAATCCACAGAACACAAGGAATTTACAGAATACAAGGAACCAGAGGAGTCCAAAGAACTCAAGGAACCCAAAGGATCCCAGGAACTACCGTCTAATACAGTTTCTGTTCTCACCACGCAACCTATGATAGTAGCGAGATTCCGTGGTTAGTGCAAGGCTGCTTTTTCCTGTAAAGTTCCACATGTGTTTTAGCCTCGATCCGGTAATAGACCATTAGACACTTTGCATTATATATATAGATAGACCTTATAGCCTTACACTCTTGTAGTATTCCCCGCTTATATGCTTATTCCATTCTTCTCTTATACCACTGTAGCCTTATATTCTTGTAGTTGTACTCCTTCATACCCTTATCCTTCGTACATCAGTAGCCGTATCCCCTGTACCCTATCCCTTACAGCGTTATATCCCTGGAGCCTTATCTCCTTATCATCTTATACTTTTAGAGTCTTACTCTCTTATCTTCTTATCCTCTTATATCCCTTTAGCCCTA